GGACTTTAATAGCCAGAGAGAGGGAAGAAAGACATTCCCAGAAGATGAGAGAGCACAATGGGCAAAGGACAGAGTGGCCGAGCATCAGTGGAAGAGGACAGCCCTGAAGAGGATGGTTCTGTGGCCAGACCGCCGGGGCCCTTGACTGCCAAGCCAAGCGGGGCATTTGCGTTTTATTCTATTGGCCGTGGGGAGTGATTCCAGCGTCTTAAGCAGGGGAGCAATGGGATCTGATCATTGCCAAGGGCACAACTTGCCATTATAAAAATAAATACGTTTACCCGAGACTCTGCAAAAATTGGCAGGAATAAGTGGCCAGATTTCAGTGCTTTGCCTGTGTGAGTTTGCTTCCTGCCACGGGCAAAGGGGCCAAGAATAATGATGTCATGGGGGCCGTGGGATGCCTCATGTTCAGAGCAGGCAGCCCACGTGCACTTCCCTAGGGCCACGAGGCAGGGGAGGTGAAGAAGAAGGCATTCAGCACCACACCAAAGTTCCTCCAACCCACGCAGTTTCAGCGGGCTTCTAGAGATCTGGGGAAATTAGAGATGGGAAACTGAGGCAGGCGGGGCCAATAACAAGGTAAATTGGAGCCTAATGGACCTGAGTCTGAATCTTCATTCTACCATTTAACTAGCTCTGTGACCTTGGAGACAAATTGTACAACTTTCCTGAGGCTCGGTGTTCCTCATCTGTAAAATGGGTAAAATGGTGGCTCTTTACAGGGTCATGGTGAGGACTCAGGGAGAATGATGGACATATTGCCAGGTGTGCAGTAAGTGCTCATCAAATGGTAGCTGTTAGGAGGGGCTTTGGAGACTTTGAAACGGCTCAGCACACCCCCTGCCCCCTTCATCCCCTCTCTCCCTATGAGCTGTCCCAGGTCTGGCTATAGAGAAGTAGGAATGAAAAGAGCAGCCACCTGCCTTGGAGGGTTTAGAGTCAGAGAAAACCAAACCATGTAATGCTTTCTTCTTCTTTTTTTTAACCACTTCTCTCCTAAGAGGGTAAAATACACATCATACATCGTTTTTCCCTGGACCTTTGAAATTTTTGCTATAAACCATAAACCACATCAATGAATTTCCCCATGAATATTTATTGAAGTAGCACTTTTAATACAAAGCCATCTGAAAAGTGAAACTCCACGGAAAATGCATTTTGTGTAGCCATTGATCTTAAAATATTTACTATGAACATACTCATCCCAGAAACCCTCCACACCGCGTTTTATGATTTGTTCTGGGTGCCGTTGCCGGGATTTGGCCTAGATGGTTCTTACAAGCTGAATAGTGTTGGCGAAATGATCTTCTGGACTGCATTCAGCTTTCCTTCTCTCCAGCCCCTGATTTGTTGGTTTCTGGCAACTGTTCTGTAGATGTCTCTGGTATTCTCACCAGCTGGTGAAGGAGGACTAAAGACACACCTGTAACCGATGAGCTCTAAAAGCCGGTAGAGAAACAGGGACGCAAGCTAGAAGGAGCTTAGAGGTCACCTTGCCCATGCCCTCCCTGACACATGCAGGAGCTCTTAAAGATCACATGCCATTTCTCAACCCGCCCATTAGATGGGCAAAAGTAGAAGAGTGGTAACCCCCAAGGCCCTTGAAGATGTAGGGGGAGAAAAGCATCTCCTACATTGCTGGTGGGAATATGAATTGTTATGGACTTCTAGGAGAGCAGGCCACCGATATCCACTGAAATTAACATGCCATATACCCTCTGAATCAGCAATTTTGCTTTTGGGACTCTGTCCTCGGAGCTAAGAGCACCCGTGTACAGATGCACATGTGGAGAATGCTTATTGCAACACAGTGTGCAGTGGCCCCAACGAGGAGCAGCCCAGATACCCACCAAAAGGGAAACGTGTGCCTAAATCATTCCCTGATTCTGTAGACTGGTGGTCTTTGCGTATTTTTGATGGCTTGTTTAGTGATAGCATGCACCTCCAAAACATGGTTATTTGTTTACATGTATGAATATCCGAAGTGGAGGATAAACAAACACAAAGTAGACATTTTAAAGAGATGAGATAAAAATCAAAGTTAGGGACCCCTGTGAACTCTGGCCGGGAAGAAAGGCCATGAGGTCAGACTCAGACTCCAGCTCCACCACCACGCTGAGCGATGGAGAGGGTCGGAGTCTTCCGCAGACACATGGACAGTTAGGGGTAGAGTCACTTCTGGAGCCCGAGTTCCCCCAGGATCCTCGGCCTGGTGATCTCTCCACTCCTCAGCATGTCTCATTGTCCACATCCACAGGTGATGGCTCTACACAAGATTTGCTCAGTGATCAACGGGATTAGGACAGGCAAGAGGTGTCAAAAGGGGTGTTTCTGTGGGAAATGGCAGAGTGACTCGTAGAGCAGAATGTGGCTTTTTAGAGGAGTCAGGATAGGTGAGGATGTCTCTGGATTATTTTCATCTGTTGTTCGTCTGAAATACAAAGTCTGCCTAGCCCTGACTGGTGTAGCCAGTTGTGCCATCCCATGCACTGAAAGGTCATAGATTCCATTCCTGGTCAGAGCATATGCCCCAGGTGCAGATTCGATCCCTGATCAGGTTGTATATGAGAGGCAACCTTGATTGATATTTCCCACATATATGTTTCTATCTCCCTCCATTTCCCTTCCTCTCTCTCTCTCTCAAAAGCAATAAAAATTTTTTTAAAATCTCTCTCTCTCTCTCTCTCTCTCAAAAGCAATAAAAATATATTTTTAAAAATCTACCTAAAAGAGTTCACTTTGGAATTCACTGTCTGGTGCAGCTCTGAGACCTGACAGTTTGTAGGCATCCTGGGCATCGAGCATCCTCTTCCTGGCCCAGGGGCCTGGCTTGATGCTGAACAGTGTAACCAAGCTCAGCCCACTGATGAGAGAGAGAGGGGCAGGGGAGAGGGCGGGAAGGAGAGAGAGAAAGAGAGAGAGAGAGAGAGAGAGAGAGAGAGAGAGAGAGATTGCATTCTGGGACCTAGGGACTATGGTTGGTCTGAGGGGGCCAGGAGACAGAACCAGGTCCAGTACAATTCCTTGATCAGAACTCGATGGCATCAGAGATGGTCCTACTGCCCTTGGCTACTGGGCTATTTGAGGGGAAAATTAAATTATAATCCAACAACCTTTGTACATCTAGAAGTTTGTCATAGTAATTAAATGCTAATAAGGCGAGGGAGAGTAAATGGATAGTTTCCTTAAAGACTTCACTCCACCACCCAAGGTCAGGTGGAAATTATAAGTAATGTAGTGGTACAGTCAGATCACTCCAGCTGAATAAATGCCATGACAAAAGTAAGGAGTCATTCAGTTCTCTATATTTGAACATCTCATTAGAGTCTGTGTCATTCAAAGATGTATGGGGTGGCAGAAAGGTGACATTTAAGGTCTCCCACGGAAAGCCAAGCCTTTAATTATCTGATGGAGGTTAATGTGCCTATGGAGCAAGGGAAGCCTGGGTGTAACAGGAAATGACACATTATGCTAAGAGCAGATTTCACAGGGGAGCCCATGAGGTGGGCCATCCCCCAGAATGTCTGTCTGGTCAGAGTTTTCCTGCCTTGTTGGTTCTCTGCCAGGATGAATGTGGGACCAGGAGAGTTCTTGGTAGAAAAAAGCGATGGCCTTAGTTGTAAGCGAGAAGGCTGCAGGAAATGAAACCCTATCCTCAACAATAATGTAGGCAGGAGCTCAGCCAGCCTGAGGGTCTGGAGGCACATTGCTGAGGATGCTGAAGGCTGTGCGGTGGCTCCATGCAGGGTGGACTGTGAGGTCCTCAGCTGGATGATGGAAGGCAGCTACAACAATGGCTCCCAGAGATCCCACCTTCTGTTATAATCCCCTCCCCTGAGGGATGCACCCAGTAACTTGCTTCTAACAAATATAATACACTGAGACGGATGGAATGTGACCTCTAAGATTAGGTTACAAAAAACTATAACTTCTATCTTGCTCACACTCTCTTTAACTCACCTCCCTTTCTCACTCTGATGAAGCAAGCTACCATGTCGGGCGATGCCTTTTGGAGAGGCCTACAAGGCAAAGAACAGAGGTCTTCAGTCCACCAGCCCATGAGGACCTGAATGCCGTCGGTGACAATGTGAGTGCACTTGAACATGAGTCCTCTCCCAGTTAAACCTTCAGATGAGACTGCAGCCTGGTCAGCTTCTTGATTGTAGCCTCATGAGAGTCCTTGGGCTGGAGGACCCAGTTAAGAGTTTTCTGACCCACAGAAACTCTGAGTTGATGAATATTTGGTTTAAGTTGTGGCTTTAAGTCATGCTTAAGTTTTGGGGTGATTTCTCACACAATGATAGATAACTAATGCAGTGAGTGTTAGACTCTATGATGATGCTGGGGTGGGAGGTTCTAGGTGCTCGCATGCACCTAGCATCTTTGTCTCTGCACTTCTCATCCTTACCCCATCCTATGGAGAGAAAAGATCCACCTACACTAACCTCAGGAGTGGGGGTGGGGGAGAAACCTTTATTCTTTCCTGCCTGGGAGCGGGAAGATATCCTCCAACCTCCCTCTCTTTGTCACTTATCCAAATACACTATCCCTCCTCTTGCTCTCAGAAGGAGTGGATGTCTCCGTATTATACGTTGGGGCATAACATAGAAAGGAGTTTTTTATTTAGAAGAAAAAAAAGTTTTGCTATAGGAAGGATTATCTTTAGGGAATGAGCTGCCGAACTGAACTAGAGAAGCTCATCTATCCCAAGGCAAACAAGAATGTGTCCCCCCTCCCCCCTGCAGTGGAGGCTCACATGGGAGCAAAGGTGGGGCTTATACCATTATCTTCCTGAATGTCCATGAACAGGACTTTGGAGTAAAATCCTGCTGATTTATTTCTTGTTCTTTTCCAAGAGCCAGGAACAGAGGGTTGACCTGTACAGGAGTTCAAAATAACTCTTCAGGGGGATTTGGTGGCTGCCATAGTTCTTCACTTTTTTTTTTTAACCTCTAACACTAAATAGTTATGGCTGAACTCAGTTCCCAATATGCAGGTGATGGAAAAATTCAACCAAGTATATTCAGCAACATCCTCTCAATTCACAGATAAGAAAAGACATTATTTTTTAGGAAGATATTATTTTCCTGAAAAACTTTAAAAGCCAGGTGATTTAGGGTTTTCGTGCATCCCTCCTTCTAGTTCACTAATACTTCCTGTGCCTCCTGCATCTTTGTCCTGTGCTAAAGGCAGAGGTTACAAAAATAAGTACAAGACACAACCTGCCTCCAATGGTTTAAAATCTAGTGATAGACATCTTTAAATACAGTTTTCAAGTTAATGAGAAATGTTGGTGAATTGTTAACATGAAGAGTGGCAGGAAGAAACAAAATTTATCCTAAGGCTATTTCATTTTTCCCATGGCACTCTCCATTTGGGGAGATTCTGGACAAAGATTGGCTTCTCAAGTGAAGTTCAGTCTGTTATGACATTTTGGTGAGGGCTTTTATTTTGAGCAGGGACAGAGATTGTTCCTTTTCACCAGATTATGCAGATGAGACAAACAAAATTTTAGAAGGCCAAAGCTGGATAAGGCCTAAGACAATTGTTATGTCAAACGTTTCATTGTTTTCATGAATAAGTTGAGATTCAGAGAGAGGAAGACACTTGTCCAAAGTCACATAGCGAGGAAACAATGATTCTAGAATAAAACTCTCACTCCAAGCCAGGAATTTTTGCAATCGTTTTAGGTCACCTGAAGACATCAAAGATAGAGCTGGTGCCTATGATGGAGCTGGTGTCCATGATGAAGGAGCTGGTGATCATGATCAAGGAGGTGGTATTCATGATGAAGGATCTGGTGTCCATGATCAAGGAACTGGTGTTCATGATCTTGGTAGATTAAGCAAGTGCTTGCTCTGTTTTTTGTGTTTTTTTTTCTCCCTGAATCAAATGTATATGATAACCTAGCTATGCTTGAAAACAAAAAGAGAACTAGAGTGGACCCCAAACTGAACAAACTCTGAAAGACAGAAAACAGAAAGATGAGGAAATCAGCACCCAGGACATTGTTGGTAGCTGTGCCTCAGAAAGGTGAGTGCTCCCTATCAAGAGTTGGAGTTGGAGGGCAGGAGGTGGTTTGAGGTAATTAACAGAGCCATTAGTATCAAACCTGGGGCAGCCAGGATGGCTGACCCTTGCACAATTCTCTTCCCCTTTTATGAATACACAATCGCCAACATTTTGATGAAAACCAAAACTATGGGAAAGACAGCAGAATCAACCAATGAAAAAACTCACACCCCCCAAAACAGAATTAATTGAGCAATCAGTAGAAAACATTTACATATGTATATTTAATATCCTCAGAGAGCTATGAAGGGGCATCATCTGTGAAACAAGTTCTAATCACTTAGAGGTATTGGGAATAAAAAAGATAATTATAGAAATTAACAGGTTGGTTGAATAGAATAATGTACACAGTGAAGAGTAAATTATAATTCTTGACTGTCAAAGGTAAGATCTCTCCCAGAACCCAGCAGTGGGATTAACAGATGGAAAATACGTAAAAGAGCTGAGATGTGGAAACTAGATTTTCGTGTTCCAGCATCAGTGTAAAGAAATGCCAGAATGAGGGATTAGAGAAGGAAAGAGGTGGCAATATTCAAATCAATAATGGTTAATAATGTCCTAAAATTAAAGAAATTATTGAAGGGTCCACTATGTGTTGAGCAAGAGAAATAAAGAGTGAGTATAGAGGTGGCCAATATGAATTGGGGACGTTCCTAATGACTCTGTTAATGTCAGGGCAGTGGACTGGGGACATTAGACCCACACTCATTATTATCACATGGATATAACTTGGATGATTCTTCAAAATATCCACTGCATTCAATGAAATCCAGTGGTCAGCATTGCTCTACACAACATAAGGAATGCACTGATTTCTGGACTTTTTCCATAATGGTATTATGATGAACAGATCTAAAGATGGTCCCCAATGGTCCCCAATTCCTGGCATTCATGTCCCTGTGTAATCTCCTAGCCTTGAGGGTGGGTAGGGTCTGTGACTTGCTTCTTATTCAGAAGACAGCAAAGGTGAAGAGGTGGCATTCCCATGTAATGTATGTCAGACTGTCTCACTCTGCAGCCAGCCCAAAAAAGCCAACAGCTGTGTTGTGAACTGTCTATGAGAGGCCCACTTACTGAGAACTGTGGGTGGGCTGGAGAGACTGAGAGCCTCAATCCTATAACAACAAGTGACTTAATCCTGCCAACAATCAGTGAATTAGACACGGACACTTCCCCAGATGAGAACACAGCCTGGATCACACCTTGATTGCAGTCCAGTGAGATTCTGAAGCAGCGGACCCATCTCAGCTGTGCCGAGACCATTTACCTCCAGAAGCTGGGGCTGGGGGGCGGGGGGACAGGGAGGAAATATGTGTTGTTTTCATCTGCTCAGTTTGTGGTTATTTACGTAGCAATAGAAAACGAATCCAGGTGATTCTGGAGAGTTGTGATCTCAACCTTGGCAATGTCTGATGGTACAATGTAGATGGCTGAAGGCTGGGTAGAGAGGCAAGTATCTGTGCCTGACGCCACTGCTCTGCATTCCCAGGCATTCTCCCAGACACACTGTGTGTGTGCGCCCTGGCTTCCCTGTGTCATCTGGATGTGGTAGCTCTGCTTATGGGAGGAGGAGTTATCCAAGTGAGTTGATACCAAAGTTATGTGATCTGGCTCTTGACACTTGTAATGCTCAGGTAGGCTGGCCTTCGACTCAAAGGGGAAGTTGCCCGTCAGCAGCTGGAGCTCACACCTGCAGGCATGCGTACTCATCAACGCATGCACACTGCTGGGCTCAGGCCCAACAAAGATGCTTGTCTGTCAATATCTTTTGGGAACAGGGCTTTTCTGGTGCCTGGGATGTTTGTGACACAGGATAAAAACCCCAAACTCCTTCCTTATGGCAAGTTATGGTCCATCTTTCCAACCTCACTCCTGTGAAAGACCTGCACAATCTAACCAAGTTTTCAAGTACTGAGGAGGCTTGATAAATGACTCTTAAAATTGAATTCAGGTGCCCACAAAATAGTACTAGCAGTGAAATTAATGGGGTCGCTTCCAAATGAGCTTAATGGCACATTTGCCTCATTTCCAGCAATTTCTTGAAGAGTTCCAGGAATGCAGTATGAGGGTAGTCAGGTGGTTTCATGAAAGAGCCCTCTTTCCAGCCCTATCTCCACCATTCATTCTCATAGCATGACCTCGTGGGAAATTCTTTCCCATTCTAAGTCTCATTTTTCTTATCTACACAATAAAGGATGTGAACTTTGGGTAACATACTCAGAAACTAAATTTCTCTCCTGGCCCCTCCATGGAAATTATAATGTCCACCTCACTGAGGCACATGTGGAATGATGTTTGTAGAACTTCATGACTTGTAAGAACACTGTTTACTCTTATGAATCATCATTGGCCACACCATCAAGCCATGTATCTGTAACTGCTGATGTCTGAATCTAAAGAAATGTCTCAAGTACTGAAGACACCTTGGAAAGGTAATTCATTCAGCTCATACTTATGCTTACAGCATCAACTGGAATTGTTTTTATTTTTGTTTGATATTAAGATTCCTTATTTGATATAAGCAATTGTTCTTGTTACTTAGGATGGACCTGCTTATATTTCCCATGACAGAGGAAAATATACTCACATCCATTTCCTGGGATTCTTGGCTTTGACTACCTATAATACAGACCTTCATCCTGCATACTGTACTAGAGTCAGAGATTCCAAGGAGAGTTTGAAGATAGGGGCTATAACTCCCTCTGTCCCTCTACTTTTTATCACACAGTAGAGTTAAAGAGGGGAGGGTGGAGGAGGGGAACTCTCAGTTTCGTCACTCACCTCTCCTCCAATGGCAGCGATTCTGCTCTGCCCCAAGCTTGCATGTCTCACTCAGCAAACCAAAGCTGTGACTAACCGTACCTACCCTCCTTTTAAGGCAGTTTACTGCCCATCAGCTATTACTAAAAGATGTCTCTTGAAGGAGGTCACACCTTCAATCCAAATAGTTTATCAAAGCATCCCTTCCAAGATCACATCATATTCTTCATGAAAAGAGTTATGGTAAATACAACAGGGCCATACTCTTGCAAATAATTAAAGTTGGTGTCCTAGTCCTCCCATCTGTCAAGTAGAGATGATAACAAAGTGTTGGTTAAGGATTAGTTTGTGGTTTGAGCTGAACAAGGAATACTTTTCTCAGGATATATAGGTGACTTCACTGTGTACTGACTTAATGCTTCTTGTCCTGGCTGACTAAGCACAGCCTTCTATCGAACATTTCACAGCCAGACCCGTTCCTGTAAAAAGCAACTTTCTAATTCTACCAGCTCAAACTGGTCTGAGTTTTGGTCTTTACCTACATCAGCCAGAAACAGAGAATGTCAGGACGTCAGGGCCTTTTATTCCAAGCCGTGCGGACATTGCCCTGGGATGTAACCAAAGCCCAACTCAACCCAATTTAAACAATAAAGGGAATTTATTGGCTCATGGAACAAAAGTGTCCAGAGGTGGGGCCAATCGCAGGCAAAGCTTGATCCTATCCTTCAACAATGTCACCAAGGACCTGGCTTCTTCTGCCTCTGGACTCTCCCTTCAGTAGTGCCGACTTCAGGCTGAGAGTGCTTCTCCTTCATGGTCCCGAGACAGCCACCATCAAGACTCAAGACTGAAGACTACCTACTTCCTCTTGCACATCCAGCAGGTGGATAAAAAGAGCCTCTACCCAACATTCCCAGAAAAAATCTTGAAAGACCAGGTACCCTCTGGATGCTTTGCTCACATAGCCATACCTGAACCAATCACTGTAGCCAGAGAGCTGGAATGTGATGGCTTAGTTTAGGTCATGCATTCAGCCCTGGAAGTGATAGTCAAGCCAGCCCAGCCAGATGATAAAATCCCCAAACAGAAATCAGGGCCTGCTGGGAAAGGAAAAGGGGGAATGAACACTGGGGATACAGTCAACAACATCCACCACATCCCTCATTTTATGGATGGAAAACGGAGACCGGAGAGGCCTCCCCAAGATCATAGCAGAGCAGAGCTTGGGGTACACCCTAATCCTTCAATCTGCAGACCCTGTATTGTTTCTACTCTACTCTACTTGCTCACGCCAACTTGCCCACTACTGGGTAGTGATCAGTGAGGGTTCTGACCAATCAATTTCTCCCTAAACCTGAATGAACCGGAGGCATCACATTTCAAACACCTCCAATGAGTTTCCAGTCAGAAGAAAACAAACCTATGCAGCCACAAAGATCAACCCCAACATTTTCATCTCCCCTCTCGGAGCCCCCTATGTACCAAGTAGCTCCTGCTACTTTTAAGAGAAAAAAATGCATTCTGGTGTGCAAACGTTACTGCATATTCATGCACTCAAAATCTAATTTTAGCTGCAAGAGACTTCATTACAAGAGGCTCACATGATTAAGCAGCTTTCTTCCCAGGGTTTGGAAGCCTGTCTATTCTTTTCTCTCATTTCCACATCACTGGGATTATCAGAATGTGATTTAGCTTCTTAAAATTATATATTTTGGTGTTTCCAAATTGATCCACAACAGGAGACGAAATCCATGAAAATTACATGTGTTAGCACAGGTTTGTGCAACCCCATAGCCTGGCTGTTAAAGTTGGAATCTGTAGACAGTCAGGGTGTCACTCTTCAAAGGTTCCTGATGCATTTACCACACGCCTCCCCTGAATACAGGTCTGCTTTTACTCAACCTGGCCGGTGGGGACAGCATCCTCTTTATGGAGAAGCTGCTAGCTATAGACAAGACCTAACTTGGACACAAACAGACTGTCTCAAAAGGACAGACGGATCCCCCTTCCTGTGCTCTGCTCTCCCACAGAGCCAGGCCCGGGGCTACGGCTGCTGGGAGCCAGAAGCAGGTAGGGCCTTTGCACCTCCTTGTTCACCCAACATCCAGAAGCACCTGCCAAGTGTCAGGCGCCATTCCATGGGCAGTGACTTGTCCTGACCTGGATGCACCCTGACCCCATCATTGATCGCATCTGCATGCCTGGCTGAGGTGCAAGCAAGCTACAAGGCCACTTGAGCAGCTGACTTGCCAACCTGGAAGGAGAGGTCTCCGGGTACCTGGTCGCAGGGAACGCAACCACCCATCCATCAGGAGGAATGGGCTGTGCTGTTGCTCTCCTGACTCCTGGGGTGGGGAAGGGGGATGAGCAGGGGGCTGTGCCTCAGCGGTGGTCCTTCTCCACTCTCCAGCCACACGTCTGCCTCTCCAGCATGGCTTCTGGGTCTTCTACCTGAAGACCGTCTGGGTGGCCAGGGAGTGAGGGCCACAGCCATGAAGCCAGTCGTGGGAGGATGCCAGCTTCCCTCTTCTCTGTCAGTTGGTGCTGCTGTCTCCTTTGAGACTCTAGGTTTGCTCTGGGATGCAGGTGTCCCCTGGCCCTCTTCCCACTGGTGGGTCTCAGCTGCTCCTAGAACTCGGGAGACAGCCTCATCAGAGGCCTTCACAGACTTGACCGTGGAGCCCAGGCAGAGCCAATAATGTTTACAAAACCCCTGGTGTTCCCAGCTCTGAGCTGAGCCAGATGGTGCTGTGGGAGGGTCTACAACAGCCTCAGCATCAGGGTGGGTTTGGGGAAACCTCAGGAGGAAGTTGGAGGCCACCAGGAGCACAGATGCTCAAGCTCAGTCATTGGCAAAGCAGAAGGCTGGGGAGGCCTCCCTCTGAGGAAGGGTGGCTCTGCTGGGCCCTCTGGCCCTGCCTGCCTTTCCTAGGGGTGCTCTTAGCTCACCCTGTCTCCCCGCTCCTCATGGGCCAGGGAGCAGAGGGCCAGGCCATCCTCATGCCCAGCTTTTCCAAACCCCTTGCCCCGTTTTCTCCCCGTGATGCAGCGTGGCTCAGGCTGAGGGGATGTCAGGTGAAGGCAGTGAGCATTAGCACCTTCGCCCTGCTCAGGCTGAACACTAAGTGGCTGTGAGGACAGAGTCCTTTTCTGTGTCCCCACCTCTGTCCTCACCCACCCACTCCGCTCCTTCTGCTGCAGACTTGGAGACACGCACGCCCCACACCCCATTCACCAGTGTTTTCCAAGCCTCTGAGCCTTTGCACATGCTGTTCTCTTTGCCTTAATCACCCTTCCCCTCTGCTTTGCTGGGATAATACCTACAGATTTCTGGAGACCAGGTCAAAGTTGCTGTGGTGCATTCCCTGAAGACCCCAGGCACAGGGGCCCAGCACTGTGAGCTGCACAGCACACACGCTCCTGCTACTGGGCTTCTCACTCCACGTGGTATGACCCCTCCCCCGACCCTGTTAGACTGAGCTGGGGTGGGGAAGGGGCCTTTCACACAGGTCTTCTCCAGGAGGCCAGCACACAGCAGGTGTCAGCATCTGGGAGGGCCCTCCCCCTTTTGTTGAGGAAATGAATGAACAAGTGGGAAAGGTGGCAACGTAGCAGAAATAGAGACAGATGTGTGGCAGAGACTGGTGACAGGAAGTGGTGGGTGAGTCACAGAGTGACAGAGAGGGCTCGGCCATGGCCACTGGGGGTCAGGCAGAAGCTGTGGCTATGGCCTCTCCCCAAAGGGTCCAGGGTTGTGTTGCTGATGGACCGTGCAGCACCCCCTCCTCATGACCCAGGGCAGGACCCCTCTGGAGAGCAGGGACCTGTCAAGATGGGCAGGGCCACCGGTCACAGTGACCCCAAGACACACTTCCTGCGTTTCCCCATGCCCACACAACCCCGATCCTAATGGCATATGGGCCCTCAGGTCCAGGACTCCCCTGAGGCCCAGCTCCCTCCCTACCCCCTGTCCCCTCACTCTTACACCCTGTATGTGAGGCATGGGGTGAATGCCCGGCTTCCCTGGGGACAGATGGAGAAAGAAGCCAGGCGAGAAGGCCCCCCTCCAAGGGGCACTCATGTTGGAGGAGTGGCAGGGGGTGCACAGGACTTGCGGTGGGTCCTGAGATTGGCGCGTGGCTTAGGGGTGCTCTACTCTGCCCACGGTGCCGCCAGCCCATCCACAGAGCGGGAGGCAGGGCCGCAGAGTTCGTGGTGCCCAGTGTCACACCACACACATTTATGGGATGTCAGGGCCACGTGGCCCAGCAGCAGCAGTCCGTGAGCCCACCTCCATGCCCAAGTCCTTGCTGCTCAGAGCAGGTGCCCGCCCAGCCCAGCCCCCGCAGTCAAGAAGCCTGACCAGCAAGTCCATGCCTGGGGCTGAAAACAGGAAACCTGGGGCCTCCGAGAGCTCGGGTGCACGCGTGGCATGGTGACTTGGGCTTGTGAAAACAGGCACTGTAGCGTGGAGTGGCGTGTCTAAGCGTGTCTAGCTAGGAGCGTGTGTCTGTCCTGTGGCATCGTGTCTGCCTGGGTGGGCTAAGGGCTTGTGGCTGGTCTCCCTGCACCTGCGGGAGACGGCACCGGGCAGCCCATGTCCCAGCGAGGCCACCACCTGAGCATGTGAGCGGGTGCAGCCCCAGGGGCGGCTGGCTCTCAGCAGGGCACGCAGAGCGGCGGCCTATCATCTGGGCACGTACTCCCTGGGCAGCCCAGCCCAGTTGTGGTCACGCAGGGCCTTGTCCACTGTCCGGATGTAGCCATTGATCAAGTCCTTCATCTCCGGGGTGAAGGGCTCGGGGTCGTGTGGGCGCCGGCCGTGGCGCCGGAAGCTGCCTTCCTTGTTGTTCTCCACGCAGAGCAGCCGCTCCTCGCTCACGGACACGTTGAGGAAGGCCACCATCTCCCGCAGCGTGGGCACCAGGCTGCGCCGCAGCTCCTCATAGTGCACCACCAGCAGCCGCTTGCCGTACTTGAGCCAGTCCAGCACGTGCGAGGACCACCACGAGGCATAGCTGTTGACGAAGTCCGGCCACTCTGGGGAGGACAGAGGGGTGCCGTGTCAGGGCCCGGCCCGGGAGGGCTGTTGGTCCCCCCTGGATGCCCAGGGAAGCGGCCAGGATTTTCCATCACCCACTGCCCAGGGCCAACCTGCCTGAACCCCCTGCTGAGGAAGGTGACTTACTGTGAAAAAGGGTTAATATCAGGCTGCGCTCTGAGGAGTCCTAAGCCAGGAAGACGTGACCTTGAGTCTGCCTACTTCCCAGCAAATACATCGAGTTAAAACAAATGTAAACTGCACGAACCAAGCACTGGCTCTCCCTCTCTCTCTCTCTCTCTCTCTTTCTCTTTCTCGTGTTATGAATTCATTGACCTTAGGGACTGCACCTGGCCAGGGAGAGGTGGGCTGCACCACGGTGCATGGCAGCCGCATTAAAGACAGGCGGAAATCGAGGTGCCCTCCTTCACCTGGATCTTGTCTCTGGCAACTATGCACACCTGATGTGGGGTGCAGGGACCGAGCAGCGTGTGTGGGACAGCTGCTGGGCCTCCCGGTGAGAGGAAGACGCTGTGCCGGCCAGGCTTCCTCTCCTGGCCCCTCCTGTGATTCTAAGGCAGTGGTTCTCAACCTGTGGGTCGCGACCCCTTTGGCGGTCGAACGACCCTTTCACAGGGGTCGCCTAAGGCCATCCTGCATATCAGATATTTACATTACGATTCATAACAGTAGCAACATTACAGTTATGAAGAAGCAACGAAAATAATTTTATGGTTGGGTCACAACATGAGGAACTGTATTTAAAGGGCCAGAAGGTTGAGAACCACTGCTCTAAGGCGTGCAGCCTGACCCAGGCTCACTGTGCTGTGGGTGTGAGGCCAGCTGAACCTGGGCACAGCGGGGCAGGAGGACACACCATGAAGCCATGGACAGGGCGATTGCAAACTTCCGCAGATGACCGACTTCATGAGATTTCTTTTCTAGCAAATTAAGAGATGAGGTGTTTTGCGGCAGGCAAGGGGGGGAGGGGAATGCACATGTTAAGAATCACCCCAAGGAAAATAGTTTCCATAACTGGGCTATGGGGAGCATTTGTTTTCTCTCATCTTCAACATGACCCTCTGAGATGGGGACCACCTTGTTTTTCAGAGGAGGAAACTGAGGCCCGAAGGTGTGCAGCTTGCTGGGGTGACTGGGCTGGTAAGAGGCCCAGGAGGGATCAGAGCTTATCTGGCCTCCATCCTAAAGAGGAATCAGCAAGGCGGGTAGGGATGCTGGGGGCTGGTCTAGGTGAAGGGTGATGGGGAAAGCGGGGAGCGGAGTGGGGGAGGGGAGACACAGGTCAGCCCCACCTGACCCAGAGCCACGCAGGGACAGACGCACAGCCTGCCTGGCCTACAGCCCTGCATCTCATCATGCCACCACCCTGCTGAACGCAGCTTTATTTCGGAGGAACACACTTGGCTTTATATTACTCACCTCTGCAATTCCTGCCTAAAGCTGGCTGTGCCCGCCTTGAGGGCAGAGACCGTGACCCCTTTCCCTGGGCTCCCCGGCCTTGCCCAGTGCCTGGCACACAGTAAGCATGTGTCAGCAGGCTGACTCCATGAATAACGTTGCAGTGAGGCCCCGCCCCCAGGCCCCTTCTCTACCTTTGCTCTTCCAGTTGCGGTCAGCTGCGTAGCCCAGGTGCCCGGCGCACTTCCTGTTGAATTCGGCCACCAGGGACCTGTACGGGTTCCGGATGAGCAGGATGGCTGAGTCGAACATCTCGATCTCCCTCCTGCCACTCTCGTGGGTCTTCACACAGATGGTGCGCCGGCTCCGCCAGTGGTCCTTCTCGCCCTTAAACCCTGCCCGGGGGAAGGAGAGGGCCACTTTGGAGGAAGGCATTGTGGGACCCACAGGGCCAAGGGGCAGACAGATCCTAATGCTCACCTGCCTGCCTGAGGGAAGGCTGGCAATAGGGGCCGAGCAGAGGGCACTGGGAGGGCCTATGATGGTTGACAAGAGCAGCCTCTACAGGACTGACCCTGCCCAAGACAGCAGGAGATGTCTAAGAGTTGGGAAAGATGGCGTCTGCTAGATAAAGGAGATAAGGCAGATCCCCAGGAGTCAGAGGGCTTGACCATGCCCCGTCTCTAAATGCTGGAGATGCATACATTTGGGCATTTTCTTGGCAATTTCACATGAACATCACAAATACCCCTGCGAGTCAACTATAGCTGCATGCATAACTGGATGAAGTGACTGAGGTTCAGAGTGGGTGTGTGACTTGCCCAGGATCACAGAGCACCATGGCAACAGAGCCAGGCCTCTCTCCACGTGGCTGTGTGTGTCCCTGAGAAGCCCCCCACTTCCACCCAGCTCCCCACAGTAGGAGCAGGATCCCCATCATTACACTCAAGGGCTGTGAGCAGCTGTTGTCCCCCCTGTCCCCCTCTGACCTCACGCCACGGTCCTGTAACAGGGCCCCAGCCTGCACCTGTGGAGATTCTCTACCTGGGACCCCAGAGCAGGTCTGGCCAAGGTCTCATCCACAGTGGTTGAGCCCAGCCCTGCAGAACCCAGGGCCCAGTTTCTATGAACAGAGCCCTGCTCCCCTGGAACAATATCTCTGGGCTGGGGGCCTGCCTTCTTCCTGGGTCTTTTGGGCCAGTCCTGGGCGTTCGAGCCCAAATCACTTCTGGCTAAGAAGGTCAGACTCTACCCACCCACACAAAGAATCACATATTTTTCAACACTGATTATTGTGTGCTCGTGCTGTGTCGGATTTTCTGTCAGGGATCAAGACTGTCCTTAAGCTTACAGCCTAGTAGGGAAATAGCCCATGTATACTACAGAGAATAGAGGCTATGGGAACAAAGTTTAGCAGGGACTGGTTAGAGGGTAGAGTGGGATGTCATAGAAAAATGTCCCCTGAATCTTGTTTCCTGACCACATCCCGGCATATGCAGCTATGCAGCCAGTTCTGGGGACATTCTCCATAGATGTGCATGAGCTTACCTTGGGCTCTTTGAAACATAAATAAGCCTTCACCCCTTTCATGACTGGCTGGGAAGCACCTGTATTTGCAAGTTTCTTTTGAATCTGGAATTCTGGGTTCACCTGCTGAAGCTCCACACGTTTCAAACTCATCTCTTTCATGGGCCAAACACTGAAAGTTTTGCTTTGATTCATTCTGTCAAGCAGCTGGGAGCTTCCGGGAAAGGAAGAGTCCAGCTCTGGGCTGTGTAAATCTGAGATGCAGTCTTTGATGCTTGAGACCCAGGGTGCCTTTCCCACTGCCTCCACCTAGGCCAACAGCGGCCACTTTTCCTTATAACTCAACCACATTCACCCAGGTCAGGGTTGGCATTTTGGCTCTGGAGCTGCCTTGTGAATGTCCCATCTGCACGTGTCATTGCTCTGTAAGTGCTCTGAGGCAGTGGCTGCATCTAACTGGCCCTGTAAGGCTCAAAGATGTCCTGGTATCTCTAAAACCATCCGAGGCAACTGCGTAACACTTATATGTGGCTGTTCAAACCACTGGGCCACTTAGCCATTTGTGGACCAAAATAGCCAGCTGTGAGAGACAGGTGAAAGCCTTCCAGATGAATGAGGCGGGTTACTACAGCCTGTACACCAAGCATGTCAAACTCACAGCCCCCGGGCCACATGCCTTGTTTATTTGGCCCGTGTTAGCCTTTGAGTTTGACATGCTTGCTGTACAAAGTGGGTGGTTCCCAGGGGACCAGGACAGAGTGGGCAGGACCACGTGCTTCCCCTGACCACTCACCTGTAGGTACCCATAACCAAGGCTCCCAAGGACAAAG